TGGCTTCCTCCACTTATGGATAACTGGAGCTTTACCTCATCTTCCTCTTCCAGAAGGAATGAAAGCTTCAATCTGATCATCTCCTTGTGAAACATCATTCACTGCTTGGAGACGTGGCTACACCTTCATCCTATCTTTTGCCAGCCACTTGACAGCACCTCTCTTCGGCCTGGAGAAACTATTTTCCATTTCCCTTGGCTCTTTGGCTCCTTGGCTATGTGGCTATGTGACCTCCAACCATTTCTGCCTTCTAGTATTTATACCTTTGTATAATCTCCTCCCTTGAGTGTGGGTGGGACTATCAATTTGCTTCTAGCCAATAGAATAGAGCAAAAGTGATGGGATGTCACACTTGTGGTCATGTTTGTTTATGTAAGATTGTGTCTTAGCAAATGGGAAGGAAAGATTCACATTTGCTGGTTTTGTCAACTAAGCTGCCACGTTGTAAGAGGGATTATGGAGAAGGGTCACAGACAAGACATTGTTGACAGCCTCTAATAGCTGAATGTGGTTCCCTCCTGACAACCAGCAAGAGAATGGTCCTTTGGTCATGCAGCGGCAAGGAAATAAATTCTGCCAACAATCTGAATGAACTTGGGAAGAGATTCTCCCTTAATGGAGCCTCTAGATGAGAAAGCAGCCTGGCTAATACCTTGATTGCAGCCTTGTGAGACCCTGAGCAGAGGACCCAGATAAGTGTGCCTAGATTCCTGAACCCGCAAAAACTTGAGATAATAATCGTATGTTACTTTTAAGCTGCTAAGTTATTATACAAAAAAAATTTAATACAATCCATCTCTCTTCATTTGTTCAACAGCTTTATTTGAGCATCGGCTCAGTATCAGGTACCATTCTGGGCACATTTGATATAGCAATGAGGCTGATGCATTTTATTCCCCATAGTGGGTCTCAGCCAATTCCTTCAACCACTTCTCCCTTCACTTAATGGGAAAACATCTCTATGACATGTAGGTCAGTTCTGTGCACTCATGTGCTAATTGGGTGAAGTTAACAGAGGCCTATCCTTGGGTAGAGGTGCTTGATTAGAAGTATTTGTAGCTGGACTTGTCTTGGGGCCCCAAGGCCAATGATACCTCCACTTTCTCTCACCTTGGAATTGCCCCAATACCAAGACGCTACCAATTTCCATCATAGGCTTCTGAAGTCAGGGTCAGATAAAAGTGGGTCTCAAATGCCAGACTGTGGACAGGTTATATCAGAACCATGTGAAGAAAGCTTTGGATGTGCTGAATCCTGAGCTCCACATCCAGACATTCTGTGTCAGTACATCTGGATGGAGCAAGAATTCACAGTGTGAAAACTTCTGCAGGTGATTGTAATAGAAACTATTGAGCCATAGAAAGTTTTTCACGTGTGGTACTCTACAAGCATGTTGCCAGAATGAGCTACTTATGGGTTTGTTATTATGTTTGATCATATAATTTATTGTGAAACAAAGTTGGCTATTTGTCCTTAGGGATTGTTCTGAAATGTCGCAGTGAAACAGACTGAGTGACCTGAGTGTGGGGCTCTATGGATACCGCTTACCTGTGGCTTCTTTTTCAGAAAAAGATTGTTTGCCCTCTTTCTTTTCTATTTGGCTAAACACAGTTGAAAACAGAAAGAGCGTTTCTGTCCCAGGGATATCTGGTAAATTTTTACTTGGTGAGTGACTGATCTCTTTAGGTTTTCCACAAGACCACTAACCCAGGTGGTCTCACTCTCTTTTTCCTGGGTATTCCTGAAATAACCCCTCAAGTTTTTGTGCTAGTTTTCAATCTCACTCAAATGCAAAGACAGTTTTGAGGGTCAGACCAAAACAGCTTCCCTACTGTAAATATATTTAAATTTTACTGTGGAGTCTTAAAGTAATAATAAACTATTCATATGCAATTATTTAGTTTAAATTAGTCATGCCTTTTCTATCAAATTCATGAATCTTATAAGAAAAAGTCAATTTAAATCATCAAACAATTGACAAATATGGACCCAAATACCACATGCACACCTCTTTAATAGCATAGACACCTGCACCCAGAAAATCATTCCTTACTTATGAACTCAAAGAACTGCAAAGTATCTGAGCTGGACGATCATTTTGTATGAGCCCATCGTTTGTAGATGAAGAAAAGAATGTTGGCACCCCAGCATTCCCAAATTCCACAGCCAGGTAGTGGAAGATCTGGACTAAATCCCACAGCTCCTTGCCCTGGGAATTCTATTGCCTTAGTTGAGATCATGTCATGGCCCAACACCACAATCATAAATACGGACATGCACTGTGTTCTGTGAAATAATATCATGAAATGATTCCTTGTAGGCAATTTGTCCAGGGAAATCGCTAGTTCTCATGTGCTTTCATCATGGCTCACCATCCAACTACCTGTGTAGGGTCTTTGCACAATGTCTGTTCTCCAGGATTAGAGAGGGAGACAAGAGACTCAGGTTTTACTTCTGCTGTGAGTATCCATAACCACAGGAAGGACTCCTTCAAACATAAGCTGTCAGGGATTCTCAGTCTTTTCTCAGTACCCCCGAAGCTGTAAGAGCCATCTTGACTTTATCTCCCCACTCCCAAAGCCTCCCTCTGCTCTGAGGTTGTGGCAGGAGCTTGATGTTTGCTGAAGTGACTGTGTTTGATCTACAGCTGTCTGTGAGTCTCAGTGTATACTGCTTTCCTCCATTTGGGCCACTGGTGAGACCAAAGAGAAACCAGATCAAGGCACAGAGATGAGAAACTTGTTTGCCAGGCATCCAATTTAGGACTGGGTGCAATGGGAATTATGTGTAATGATGGACTGTTCTCATGGAGAAACTTGAAATACTTTTTCGGTCAGAGTTATAAAAGGGAAGACTTAAGGTTCTACTTATTTAAACTCCAAATATTCATACTTTCAACTGTGGAGCTTTAAGTAATGATGTAAATATGATATTAGAGAACACACTTGAACAGAATAAGTTATATGTATTAGTCAACCCACCTCTTCCTTCCAGCTAGGAAAAGGGGAAAAGTTCTGTGTCGAAGAATGAGAGGAGGTTTATGGCAGAGTCGACAAGCACTTATGGAGAACATGGGGGGCGAACAGGGGAACAGTGACTAAAGGAGGGTGCAGAGCTTCTTTCTTTAGGGCAATTCGACTGACCCTTTATTCCCACTTTGTTTATAGGATGTTGGGACTATTGATCAGTCAGGACTTTTTCACGACCATGTTTCAATGCCTCTTAGTCAAATGCAATCTGATCAAAATGGAATATAATAGGTATAGATGGAAAATTCACATATTTTAGGAATGTATAGTTGTTTTAAGGGTTGAGTGAGCGTCAGGATCCCTTAGAGAAATCAGAAAGAGATTGAGTCTGGATTTGAATTCCATCACAAGCTACATCCCAGGGAAAAGGTGAGGAAATATTCATTTTTTACACAGCAGCCAAATTAATCTCAAATCACTTTAATCTACTACTTAAACAGTCCATTTGATCCTCATTTCGAAACCCCTCTTGACCGAGGTCTCCACAGCCCTGAAGGGTTTGAATCTCATTAGTCTCCATCATTAATGCTCATGATTATCAATGCTCTGGTCCTACTGGATGTGGGAGATGCTGGTCCCTGACTGGGAGGAGGCATATGATCTGGTGACTGAAGTGACCATGTCCTTCACAGGACATGTGATTCCATCTTTGCTGTGTCCCACGTCTCCTGCTGTTCTGTGTCTATGCGAAGGATGAACATAATTATGCCATGACTCATTTTACCTAAAGTCAATGGGTTCTGTCGAGTACCGCAATTTCCCAAAACCAAAGTTCCTGTACAATATCTTCGCTCAAAAGACATACCTGGATGTGCAATAGCTTCTCCAAAGGAGATGCTCAAATGCAGTTGCTGTCTGTAGTACTAACAAGAGCAAGACTTAAGCCATTGTGGAGTGGTGATTGGGATGGAGACAGTACCTCTGGTCAGGGAGGTGAGGACTCCCAAGGCCAAGGACAAAAGTACAGATTTGATGCCATGCTACCTGAGTTGTCTTCTGAGTCACGCACTCCAAAAAACCCACACCATCACCACCCTTGAATGCTGCATCTGACCACAGCCTGCAAGGGGCTTTCCTTTCCAGTTCCTCACTGATTCTTGAGTGCAGCCTTGTGATGGAGGTGGGGAAAGGGATTCGTCTTTATTGACCCCTTCTTTCTGTGGGTCTACAATTCCCTAATCCTGGAGCCTGTGCCTCTTCCTGACCTGAGCGTACAGGAGCTACACTTCACCCTTGGGGACAGTAGGGGAGGCCAGAATGGGCAAGAGTGACTCACCCCTCATGAGACCCAATTCCATGTCCTCCTCCTTTCCCTTCTTCCCCCAGGTGACTGGCTACTCCTTTCTCCAGGACATAGAATTTGCTGGGAAAGATTCCCACTTCATCTCCCCGTAATACTAGAATAGTACCCATTGCTTCTGGACAATTTGTTCTATTCCACATTTGATTTGGACCATGGGTCACCCTTAGTAAAATTACTCATACTTGGAGATTTGATGCACCAATTTTTAAAAAATAACACTGAGGGTGAGTTGTTTTTGATCTCGGGATATTGATGACATTCTTTTTGTCCTTTCCTTTCTTTCTTGTACAACCAGGTTCCCTTCTAACTTAAATTTATGATTCCTTAATCAGACAGAATCAATCACATTTGCCTTGTAATTATTCTCTGGGCCTTTACCCGTTGGGAAGCAAAGAGGCAGATACCAATTGAGGCCTCAGCTTCACAGCTTAAAGGAGAGAGAGTGAAAATTCTGTGCTGCTTCATGACACAAGGAGCTTCTTATCTTCTTCTCTCTATATCCCACAAATCTCAGATTAAGTGGTTGGAAAGACCTGTAAATCAATTGTGATTAAATGACAGGAGAGAGGCAAAAACAGACACATGGTCTTTGAGATGATTCTGTGAAGAAGTTTATTGCAAGAAGAACAAGGAGCTTCAGCTGAGCAAAGCTTAGAGGAGGTTGGGGGCTTGCATGATGATGACTGATGCCGATATCTGGGGTGGATTGTGGGATGGGACCATAGCTGTGACTGTGCAGCGTGGCAGATGAGCTTGGCGTAAAGCGCTGACCCAGAGCTTAGAAGATCCAATCCAAGTGAACTGGAACCACTGAATAGGCGGCATTGTCCCCTGGTTGACTGTTGTTACAGGCAACAATGAAGTACTTCCGTGCCCTGGTCTGTCCACATCTGCAGTTCCTATATGGCCGTGGTACTGAGGTGAGGTTGCAGTCTGTTACGTCCTGAACTGAGCTATTATGACAATTCATGTAGCCAGTCGTAGTGCAGGTTACATTTGTGGTGTTACAAATGTTAGCTACAAAAGCAAACGTTGCGTCGAGAAAAGTGTTTATATTTTTGCACCTCTTCGTATAACGGTTAACCACCTGCATTGCATTATCGCAGGGATGGTGGGTCATATTTATGTGCTGAGTTTCAAACTACTGAGCCCTGGTTAAACCAGCCGGTGGATCATGGAATGAGGTCACCATTCCCAGGATCCCCAGCAGCAGAAGGAGACAAAGCCAAGAATCCCGCTGTGTTGGAACCATGTTTCCTGTAACAAGAGAAGAGAAGTATCCCCTCCACCTGGCTCAGTAATGACACACTCCCTCCTCATTCACCCCGCAGGCTCCTCTTTGTCACTCTGGATCTTATTTCCTTTCCCCTCCCCTCCCCCAAATCTGTCATGTGTCCTGGTCACTAACTTGAGCTCAGCCCTCCTGCAGTTGCTGCCCCATCGCTGTCCCTCCCGTCCCAGCTCTAGGGCTCATTGTCTTACCCAGTCTCTGTGCTGTGGCTCCTGTGAGAACAGACTCAGCTGGTCGTCCTGGGGCTCAGGGGCAGCTGGTCTCCCTGCTACTTGGAGCTGAAGATATAGAGAAGCCCCTGTGGGTGGAGCCAGCAGAGCCAAGAGGGTTGTGAATCTAGGACATGAAGAAACCCACAGATTGGCACATGGCCCACTTCTAGAATGAGCATCTTTGATCATTTTCCAATCAATGCACGCCCAGGGAGAGCACCTTTGCTGTTTCTGTTGTAACAAATCTAATTCCAGGCAGCCTGTGTAGGGCAGAGCTCTCTCAGTGGTTCTGGTCTCTGCTGATGAAAAATATACGCTGGCTGCAGAATAGCCATAGATTTTATAACTCAACTTGGGGTAGGGCACTGAGGGACTGAAGTACATAAACACAGGCCTGGGACTTGGAACAAATGGAACCAGGGAGGGCTATTGGCACAGGAGGAACCTAGGTCCCCCTTTCATGTTAGTATCTCCCTGGTTTCCTCTGACCAAATGTTCTCCATCTCATCACCTCTTTCTCCCAGAAACCTGAGCTCTGAATTTCCTGCTTCTCAAAATACTTTAGCAAATTAAAGTACCTTGTCATGTATCTTTGAGGTGCTCTTTGTTGTTTCTTCTGCTCCCCTTGCATTGAATTCACTTTCTCTTATTTCAACACTGGCCTGACTGTTGCCTTCACTTCCTGAGAAGCAGCATAACCTGAAAACACCTACAGGAAAGTCTTTCTGTAAAACCTGCCAGAGAATGAACAACGGTGTCCTATAAAAGAGATTGTGCAGAGGGGGGAACAGGTATCGTGGTGGGAAGCCCTCAAGCTGAGAGATGTTAAATCTCTGGGTCAGCTTCTAGGTTAGAAAACTGAATGAGACCCTTAAATGGTATCATACAACCTTCCAACAAAATTAATCCACAAATTTCTTACTACCTTTCTATATTACCATCATCTGGAAATGCAATAATTTTACTGTTGATGTCTTCTTGTCAACAGGGACATAACAGTGACCTGGTCAGGACTCAGTGCAGAGTGAATAGCACTGTGCCTTAAAATCCTGTTACTGAAACTCATTAATATCTTTTATCATGAAGCAAGTTTTTTTTAGTGTACATTTTGTGGAAATCATTTTTATAAGTGATGAGGATGTAAAAACTTAATTAGATGCAATGTCACTCCTCTGTGCTCCTGACAGCCTCACCGGGTAGAAAGACCTGTACTTAAGTGTCTATAATATGAGGAAAAACACATATACTGCAGTCACAAGGGGGTGTATCTGGGTCAAAAACTTGTTCTGATCAGCATATACAGTGTTACTAATAATATTGGGTTTTGGATGTTAACTTTTCAACTTGGGATAGTTCACATAAAAATTTGCATTCCTGTCTTATTTTAAAAAATCAGGAAGTGTTGATTGGCTCACTGAGTCTCCATTACCACAAGAGATCAATTAGAGCTGCGTAGCCACAACTTCTGTTGAAGGGGGCAATAGTTCAGGGGTCTCTACCGACTCTGCTCCTACCTACTGATTCACTCAGTGATGATACCTGCCTGCCTCCTGTAGACAATTGTGTTTAAGACCCATCAGGATTGTTACACATGTCCTGAGAAGCAACTCACACAATGCTCTGCCTAATTTGCAACCATGTTTCTCCTTTAAAATGTATTCAGAGCACACCTTCTCAGATTTTTCTGATTGTTTCCTCTAAACCTTTTCAACAGCCCTCTTTGTCTCCAGGACTGGTACAAATGAACCAGTTTGGTATTTGAGACCTTTTGGAGAACACTTCTTTATATAAAGCAGGAATAAATATAAACCTATATTAATCAAAGTACAGTGTAAGTTCAGCATGATTTTACCTTTAAAAGACAAAAACCACTTCTTATGGGCTCTTTCTGTTGTTTCAGTAGCATAACCTCCCTTGCAGCGAAATTCAGTGGCACATTTCTGGACCTGATCCATACTTCCACTGAGAGGGATAGCCAGAATTATGCCCTACTCTTATTAAGTCATTGTTTGGAATCTAGGAACGCTGTAAGATACTGTCCCAGGAAAAGATATCTGCATTTGTGCTAAAACCACTGCTGAGAACACTGTCCTCAGGGCTGATCAATGTCTCCATTTACAAGGCCCATGTTAAAAAATGTGATGTCTTATGTTTGCAATTGCTTCAGCTATAGTACTCTTGCAACGTCTGCTATTAGAGAGATGCCAGCGGTCATTACCTTCCCGCACATGGCTTTCCTAATGCTGCTTCTGTCTATGGGAATGACGATGCACACTGCTTGCTGGTACCACTTGAAGGACTGTCCTAATAACATGGTGCACGTTAACTTAATTGCAGTGAATGGAGTGAGATTAAGTAAACTAAGTTCAAAAGACATTTGCTCTCCTTGGTCTCTGGGAGTCAGCAAGGTGGCCCCAGGCCCACCGCCTTCTTGTGTGGAGTTCCTACATATCTCCACTGAAGACCATTGAACAAAAGCAGAACTTGACCTTTTTGATCAAGTTTCTGGAATGAACTAGGAAAGGACTGAGCTTTTCTTCTTTTCCTCAATTGTAACAAGTTCTTACCCTTCCTGCAGGGGGAGAAAGAACTCAGATGGAATAATGGAGAGGCATGTCTGAAGACGGATGATACAAAGTGTTTTCCTAGGATATTGAAATGTCGCCTTCAAGTGAAATTGACCCATTGCATATTGAGCATGTGGAGGTGTTAACTGAGATCTCAGGGCTCGCAGGAAATTAATTAATTACATCTAGAGGTTGGCATCTTTGTAAGTAAAATGATTATACAAATTTTGTGGGACAGTCCAGGTATCTTGTCCAGGTACCAGTTCTGACTCTTACTGTAAGAGTTGATCAGTTACTCATCCTCTCTATGCCTCTGTCTTCTAATCTGCAAAATACAGATAATAATAATATGTACACAACAGGTTTGTGGGGGAAATTTAATGTTGTAATATATATGTATGTGTGTAAAATATGTAGTATAGAGCATTGCATAAGGTAAAAATTATCTCAATAAGGAACGTCAATTCTACACATAAAGGCGTCAATGTGGGCCCAGTACTGCTCTAATCCCTCTGAGATGTTCACAGTGAGCCAGAACAGCTTGTTTGTTTTTTATACTACCACAGGTGAAGACATTAGAACTACAACTCATGGTGTCATCTCTTTTGACCAAGTCCTGCTCAGGTGCACAGCAACTCATTGGCCACTCCCTATTTCTCAGAACTCTTACCCAAAATGAAATAGAAGACATCACCTTTCAACTCATGAAATTAGAGCTTTACTCATGAAATTAGAGTAAAGAGAAATAGGAGATCACAAGAATTACATCTTTCTTCAGTTCAGTGGAAAATTTGAGGCATGCTCTTAGAAACAATTAGAACACCTTTTCATAATGATGAAAACACAGTACCTGCATGATTTAGTCTCTCTTTTGTGTAGAATATGATAAATATGGCCAAATCGTTGACCCTGGGCTTTGTTTTTTCTATTCTCCTTGGGTCCTTTATTCTCTTGTGAAAACATTTTTCAAGGTAGAATTTTTGAGTTACAGCTCTACATAAAGCTGTGTACAAATTACAAAATGCATACAACACATGGGAAATTAGATGATTGACATTAGAGGGTACACAGGCGGATATTTAAAAGTGTTCCTTGACATGTGCTATGTGTGTAATTAACACATCAGTCCATAATTTCATGTATATTACTGCTGAGGACCAAGTCGTATAAAAGCATGAGTTGATATAATGGATAATAGTAATTGCACAGGTGGGATGGAGCTGTGGTCAGGGAAGCCCGACTTCTAGAAAACCCTGACATAAAGAGTCAGATTTGCCTAGGTCTACAGTCTACTTGCCTGAATTTGTTACTTTGTGCTAATCCACTTTTTTCTCAACAATAGTCATTATTGCTCACATTTTTAGTAAATGATGTCTTTTCTTCAGAGGGATCCTTGGCCTCTTACACTGTCAAGGCATGTTCTTCCTCCACAGCTGGGATATTTCCCTGCATGGAGCATCACTCCTCCTCCACGGTGGTCTCCTACTTGCCTCACATCCTTCCCTCAAGAGAGACTAGCTTGGTTTTCTGTTAAAGTGTATGGGCTTTTAAAAAAGACAGATCAGAGTTTGACCCACAGCTCTGCTATTCACCAACCACATGGCTGCAGAGAAGCAGCTTGTCTTCCCTTTTCTATCAGGGAAATGGTGTAATTCTTTATAATACACAGACATCCTAATTCTGATGGTGGGTCACCCTGGATCCTGAGCACAGGTAAAAGTCTATGCCATCTCTAGAAAAGTGGAGGAGAGGATTACCTACAGGATGGCGTCATTGTTATTCTTAATAAAGCTGTCTAGAATGTAAGAGGTCCACCCAGGTGGTGTTGGGTTCCTTCATTTCCAATGCTCAGTGGAAAATTCTAATGCATATAAATGGTGAGTGAAGCCAAGATATCTTAGGATATACAGCACCTGTTAAACAAAGTTTCCTCTTGAGTGTAATAAGTTTGAAGCCTCTTGACTGCCTATTAGACCAAAGGTTAGTGAAGGAAGAAGCCTTATGAGAGATTGCCAAGGATGGGAACTACATTACATTGATGTTTGCTGACTGAGAGGTGTCTCCCAGTGTATTTACCAGTCCTCTGATCTAGATGTCTCAGAGGCTTGAAATCATCATGTTGGCTTTTCTGCCGATCTTTTCTCTTGCTCAGTTGAATGACAGTTCTGAGAGACAGGCCTTA